GTTCGCTGTCAGTTTCTCCTCTTGTAATAGAGTTGGTAAGTGAACAGCATGGATCCTGATCAGACTGCGCGGATGCGCAGGCTGGTCTGGATCCATGCTGGTCGCAAACCCACTATGTTAGTTTTGTTGTGACGTGGATTAGATATTATATCGTCAGATAGAGCTTGATTTAGTTAAGTCAGTGTAACAAACACTCAGATAGCATGTCACAACCAATCTGTAGCACACTTAATGTATTTTATTGGACGGAAATACTGATTGTCAATATCAGCAGAAACATTACTGATAACGCAGCTTTGATCAATAGACATTGTCAAATGAAATCAAATTTTATATCGAAAAGAATATAATTTGTGTAGTTTGAATGAAAATGACAGTATTTTTTCGAAAGTTTTAATAGCAAAACATTTTAAACACGCGTGCTTACAATTTTTTTATATTATTGTCACAGGGTCAAATATTTCTACACTGGATAGTACAGAAACAACTCTGGGCGTAGGTTCGATGTATTTATTAGAATCCAATAAAAATGGTCTAAAAATATAATAGATTAATAATTATACATCTTACAAGTACAATACATATAAAAACAAAATACATTGAAATAACAATATATACACAATCGACGCGGAATAAGAAAATACAAAAATACATAAATAAGATATACAATCAATATCTTAATATTAATACTATTCTTACCACAGCGTCTGTAATTTATATTTACTTATATAAATTAAACTATTTCAATATAAATTGAAATAAGTAAAGTAAATGTAGATTTAATGTTAAATGAATTAACTTTAGTTTTACTATGTCTGACTCGTAAGAGATGACTGTAAAGAGTGAGCGGGACAGGAAAAGCAAACAGTGCGCAGAAGTAAAAAATATTTAAAAGAACCAATGGATATCTCTCTCACATAGAATCATACATAACAAACACAACAATTGGATAAGTACAACAAAGAACGAGTGACCAGTGTTCACGATATTGCACGGGTGAGATCGACAATGTACATCATTGACGGAAATTGTCGATTTTCACCGATTCAATACCGGAAGTTAAACTTATACGATAAAACCTAAACGAAACCGAATAAAAACGCGCGTGCACGATGTTTCCGCTTAAATAAAACTATGGAAAGCAAAGATTTGAGTGTTAAAATGAAATAATATTGTAGATATCTTGTCTCCGTATGATCGGATAATTATGTATTCATGCTTTACGTCAAGAAATATAAAAAAAATGTTTGGAAATGAAAAAGAAAGAAAAATATAAGAAAGAAATTGTATAAAACATCACTATTTTTCATATATACTGTTTCTTTCTTTTTTGGGGGGGGGGGGGGGGGAAGAGGAAGATAACATGTAGTTGCAAGAATATCCATTTTCTATTTGTTGATCTGTTCCCAACATGTTATATTGAATAGTTAATGAATAGGTTATGAACACGATAAAATGAAAACCAACACAATAAAAAGCAACACTGAAAAATAGGACAAGTAATTTAAGTGTACAGTTATTTTAAAAAAGTGTGGCTATAGTTTAAGGCGATCGTACGTCCTACTGTAAAATAAGACATTAAAATTAAGTGCAGGGGATTTGTTCTTGATCAGGTTTCAGACGGAATTTAAAATGATGAGCGGACAAAGTCTGGTGGAGGCAACTAAATTGAATGAGAGTGATTCAATTATAGCTTTTTGTATAATCCCTTTTAAGATATGATGCAATCTTTATGTATGCCTGAAGAACACTACAATTTTATTGTCAGTTTACATTTTTAATGAACAAATCGTTTTATAATTTCTATATGTGTTAATGAAAATTTAAGTGGTTTAATTTTGAAAATTGATCCATTATTTACAATTTGTCTCTCAGAGGAAAAATAAATGTTTGAAAGATTTCTATTTGAAATGTTCAGTGAAAATATGTCAACGTTATTTTTACATTAAGTATGTTAATGATTTTATTGCTATACTAGAATCGTTGCAGTGACGCATGTATGTTTTTCTTTACTGTAGTCGTTTAATGAACCGTTGTTTGGTGTAACAACAGTGATAACATGATAAAAATATATATCTTATTGATAACTGTTGCATACAATAATTGTTATAAGCTCATCAGATATTTCAGATTTTGGTCAGCATTAACTTTCTTTTAATTTCTCTCGTAGTTGAGGGTTTGCCATTAAAAGTTGAGGCTTCATAAGTGTAGCCACCGTTTATTTCTGCGTAGTCGTAAGAGGGGACTTAATGGGTTCGAATAAATGGAGTATATGTATCTCTTAGCTCCAGCAGGCAAGGTGGTTTGATCCCGGGTGTTGCTTAAAGTATTGTAACACCCAAGGTTAGCGTAAGTCATCTTACCGTTGTTAATAATTTTGCAATTGGATCTGTACATGAGAGATAATGAAAAAGTGCAACATGCCGCCCGCCCCTGATCACCGGCTTTAGCGGTACTCAATTTTCAACACTTAAAAGTGATAGATTCAATGATTCCGACCCAGCAAACATTTTATATCGGTCCAATATCGGCCCGATATCAGTTGTTATGTCGGCCCGATATCGATTTCTTATATCGGACAGATGTCGGATGTGCAACCCGGCTACAAGTCGGGCCGATATCGGCTGTATATCGTTAGATCGATTTGAAGCCGGTGTCTTACCGACATAAATTAACCTTTAATCTTTCTTCTAATAAAACATTTTACTTTGATTTTTTCATTCCAATTAACAAAAAAACACAATTGAGCTTAAATATAAGCTTTTTATTTTCATTTGGCAAATATACATGTATATCATAGAATCAATATTTTTTTAACAAATGTATGTTAATTGTGTACAGCAGTTAACATCACAGTTAAAAGAGAATTTAACAAAGATTGGAAACAAGAGCTGTCGGTAGGACAGCAACGCTCGACTATTCTAGTGCTTGATAGTAAAAAATAATGCTTGATAGAGTTACCTACTCCTGTTTACAGGTTGGTGTCATGATGGTGAACAAGTATGCAAAGTTTCAAAGCCATATGTCAATGGACTTTGAAAATATTTGAGGTATTACAAAAAAATTTAACGTAAATTCTAAGTCGAAAAAGGGGCATAATTCTGTCAAAATGCTTGATAGAGTTACCTCCTCCTGTCTACAGGTTGGTGTCATGATCGTGAACAAGTGTGCAAAGTTTCAAAGCCATATGTCAATGGACTTTGAAAATATTTGAACTATTACAAAAACTTTAATGTAAATTCTAAGTCGAAAAAGGGGCATAATTCTGTCAAAATGTTTGATACCGTTACCTCCTCCTGTCGACAGGTGGGGGTCATGATGGTGAACAAGTGTGCAAAGTTTCAAAGCCATATGTCAATGGACTTTGAAAATATTTGAGGTATTACAAAAACTTTAACATAAATTCTAAGTTGAAAAAGGGGCATAATTCTGTCAAAATGCTTGATAGAGTTACCTCCTCCTGTCTACAGGTTGGGGTCATGATGGTGAACAAGTGTGCAAAGTTTCAAAGCCATATGTCAATGGACTTTGAAAATATTTGAACTATTACAAAAAACTTTAACATAAGTGGTTACGCCGACGCGGACGCCGACGCTCGGGTGACTACAATAGCTCTACTTATTCTTATCGAATAGTCGAGCTAAAAATATAGTTGTATTTTTAAAGGACAATGGTACTGTAAACTAGTATTTGTTGCTTTATCAAAATTAAATTGTTTATCGCAGACTGCAAATAAAACCCAATAACATAACAGCAAACAATCCATTTTTAAAAAAAAAACAATATTAGTCTTCAATCTATGTTATTTAATGTTGTAATAGTTTTTTTAGTGTTTAAGGAAGTCTAATTGTATCATTAATCTATTAAATAGACATTTAAGTCCATTTCATAAATGAAATCAAAAATTTCCTTTAAAAATCACAGACAATATACTGGTAATAGAATAACACTTATATTAATTTTGTTAATATATAATTATTGAAAGTAAATAAGAAAATGAATTGTCATGGTTACTGAATCTTTATAATGAAGACATAAAATTTAAGAAATCAAAATTTTAAAGAATATAATAGATTCACTCTTGAGAAAGTTCCCCACTGATGACATTATATCATTTTATCATACTATAACTAATATTTTGATTCCCACATTAAATAATATTTTTTTGACTTTTACATTAGATTGCATTAATTGGTAAACAACTCCTTATGGCCATCTTCAATTGTTATTTCTGTTGATAAATAATATATATATATTGTACAAACATCACTGTTAATTCTTTTCTCATGCTTCCATTTCTAAACAAATATACATCTTCACTTTAAATAAAAACATACCTGACTAAAAAAAGATATAAAAGACTAGTAATAATTCAATTTAGTTCTGCTTCCTTGGTAAAACATTATAAACAAACAAATTAAAAATGCCAATAATAAAACTTAATATGTTCAAAAGCTATGATTTCAATTCCATTTAAAAACTGAGAATGAATCTACAACATTGCATTTGTATGGGTGTTTTTTTTCTTTATACTTCAGCTATTATGCAATAATAGAAAAAAAATATCAGCAATTATGCAGAATTATTAAAGAAAATAAATGTAAGAATAAAACAATGTAAAAAACAATGCAAAAAATAAAGACTAGACTTGACTATACATTTGGCAAGGCATGGTAATAAAATGGATTTATAATATTTTTACAAAGCATAAAACAAAAAAACAACCTATAATAACGAATCAAAAACAATAATTGAATTATAGTTTCACAAATCGCAGGATTTAGTATTATAATTGTAAAAATTATTTGATTATCATGAAGATATGACCATAATCTCAATATTTGATATGTGCGATTGAAATACTGAAATTCTCTGAATGAGTAAAAACAATAACAATATGTACATCTTATGTAAATCTAACACTCCTTGAGATTTTGTTTCTATAACAAAGAAGGATTTTAACGGCATAAACTTCCCATAAGCACTGATTATGGACTACACAAATATGCCGCTGTTTTTTGTTCTCCCTCAATAAAATAGTTTTCAAATTCTTTTTACGGCAAAAATAATAACGCACTTTTTCTGATGTTTTCAGTTCACTTTTTTTTCTTCTTTTCATATGATGCTAAAGTAACATCTCACATTCACCGACCCAACAGATTGATATAAGTTTTATAAGACAAATTGACGCGAACTCGTAAGCACCATAAAAACGTCATTCCAAGAATGCAGCTTGTTCATACAAGTGCCAGAATGGCGTCACTTTTAAACGGAATATATGGTCAGGGGCTGAAGAATCATTAATCCAGCAACGATGTAAACACAATATATATAATCCTGCCTGACACACAAGCTTAAACTGATTTTAAATAGCCGATGAACAACACAGAAACTGATATTGTTTCTTAAATATATCTCAATAATGTTTAGTTTAACTATATCACTATTTAGGTATGATTTATTCTTCTTAGGCTATATGTTCTTGAACTATTAGGCTAGAATGATACAAGTCCTTTACATTACTTCCAATTTAAAAGAGCCATCTTTTTTCTTTCAATATCGCTATAAATATATTAAAAAGTTCTATTCAGTGGGTGTTTCTTGGACACCTTCATTGGTTTTTTGTCTTCTTTTATGGCCCCCGTCTCTGTCACATGCACTTCGAAACCATTCTCTACAATCAGCTGCTGTACATTTTTTACATTTCATGACTGCTTCTGTAAGTATAATTAAAAAAGAAAATAAGATCTACCTACTTATTTGTTCTGGCAGAACTTTATAGACACATGTAGTGGTAGACTATATATACTCCTTAAATTTTTGTGATATACTTAATTAAAATATTAACTTCTCCATACATTCAAGTGTTCTAAACTGAATATTATGCTTTTATCAATTAACACATCAAGTAAAGGTATACATCATAAAAATTATTAACTTTATCCAAAATTTATATATAGAGAATACCATGCTAGTGTCTGATATTATAAAATTTATCAGGCAAGGCTAAGAAAAAAAAGAAGGGCGAGGCTGTGCCGAGCTCTCCTTTTTTTTTCGTGCCGAGCCTGATAAATTTTATAATATTAGACACTTGTTTGGTATTCTATTTATCATGTTTTCAATTTCAATTGTTGTTTGAATTTTTTTATTTTAATTAAAGCAAAACCCTATCCAGAATCTCTCGTGTTCAGACGGCGCGCAATAATATGTGAAATGCCAAATCAAAAAGAAATAGTCCCGAATGTTTTAGTTAATTGTAAGTGACGCGTTCATATTCAAAATTTCTATTTGATTCAAAGTTTATCAGTTAAATATTTCCAACCCAGTAGCAGGAAAATATATTCCATTCTTTTTATTTCATTTCGCAAATTTTGCATATTTTTGATGAGGTGTCTGATAAAGCTTGGGGTGACTGATAAAGCTAGGTTTATCAGGCATGCACTTTATCAACAGAAATCAATGTAATGACATGATAAAATATTCTTACACATCCCGCATTTTCCTCTATTAAACACAGAAGGACCTGAAGTGAGTTATTTATATTATGCAATAAAATCACTGTATTTAAACATGTGACGAAACCATTTACAGATATGTGACATTAGCATTTAAAAATGTGAGGCGCTGAAAATGAGTATGGAAACAAATCAGACGCAGTGTACCTTAATACTAGGTACGGCAGTATTTATCTGTTGTTGTTAGAATCGAAATAATATATCCAAAAAAGTGATTTCACTGCATTATAAAATCACTATGATATTCGAATACAATCATTACATGTATATCAATCAGGCTACTTCCTCCTGATATAATTCCTCGCATTTGAACTCCAAACATTTAATTAAGCATTAAAATCACAGTTTGGGATATATTATTTTTTATGAAATATCCTTTTCTATGCAGAGGTGAGAACATAGTGATATATTTTCTTCTTTTTAATCAAATATCTAAGTCAAATATGCAGGTTTCTTACTGTCTGTAACAATTATGTGTTTGGTTATCCATAAAATTTTTAATGAAAATAAAATAATTACTTTGCACTGCCTTGGCCAGCTTCAGTTTCCCAAACGCTCTCTTCCCTTTCTTGCCAAACCAGTTGAACTGAAGTGCCAACTGATTTGACATGCAGTGTTTCATGACTCTTTTTGACATATCGCTTCTTGTGATACCTCCTTGCGGTGTCAGGTATGTGACCTGAAATATATGATTTTTGTTCTAAACACATTTCTAACGTTTCAAAAACCATTTGACACATAATTCACAGGAGTGTAATAAGGCCATTTATTTCATGCTTTTCCAGTGTTTCACTGTAATAGATAATATTTTGATAAACCACTACTGAAATTTATAATATATCATTTTCACTGTAGCCGGACTATATCTGAATGCAGATGAAAAGAATATAACTAAATGGAATAACAGGCCCAATAAAATGCCGTCATACGTAAATGTTCTTTCTTTAAGAAAAGAAAGTCGATGTCATCATTTATCATGTTAAAGTGTAACAAAATTGGAGGATTTAACAGGATTATATTTCAAAATTGATGATATGACATCATGATGTTATGACTTCATAAAGGAGAATGCGCGACGTCAGGCAGCAAATCAGTACAAAATATTTAATATCACGAAAAAAGCATGAAATAAAAAGAAAATTTATTTGTTTTACATATAAGATTGAAATATATTTCAATCGTGAACACCAGGTATTTCATTTTCATTCGTTGCAATGCAAGTCATGAAATTAATATTGCATCTGGTGTTCGCTCAGTGAAATATTTTTCAATCTTACATGCAAAACAAACAGATATTCTCTATTTAAGAAATACTATATTACACTAGTTATAAATTATAATATAATGTCTACATATTACACTAGAGTAATAATATAATGTCTTTTGTGTTACAAACAAAAGCACACTAATGACAGGCCAAAAACTTTTAAGAACAGTATGACGGACAGAAAACTAGTGTGCAAAATTTTAGTGACGTAAAAAAAGTTTAGCAAAAACACTAATAAATTCATTTCATGCAAAGATAAAATTAACATCTTTCTAACTAATGAAAATAAATTTACCAAGCCATTGAAACAACCAGGTTCTTGTAAACCTGTCTCAACCAACTCCAGTTCTTCAATGCTTGTAACTGGTAAATGAATATCATCAGGCAATTCAGTTGGTCCACCACCATCTTGACTTTCCAACTTTGACACAACACCAAATACCTGATGAACAGTGTCCAATATTTGTGTCTGTTGTCGAGACATTTTTTCTAATAGGGTAAAAATGCGGATATCTCGTGCTAAAATACAAAAATATTATTTAATGAGAAACATAACTTTCAATATAATTACTGAAGTAAAAAAAACAAAAAGAATATTCTTTTTAATTAAATCATCCTGCAGTGTCCAGACCAAGTGAACATCCTTAAATGAAGAGACATGGACAAACTGCTATTAATTTAGAAGTTTGATTTCTAAACAAGAACATCAAAAGAAATGCCATGATCTTTTTAAACCCTAACCGACAATATTTTACCAAATAAAAACATTATACACAGAATGAACCAATAATTTCATTTAATACTGACATCTTACGTCTCCCAAGTTCTTCAAGTGGAAGGAAATAACACAATACAACCATTCAGACATTAAAAAAAGCACATCTTTTATCAATTAAAGACCAATTATTGTTTAAAATCATTTAAGAGTATACCTATAAATCAATTAATGGCAAAGTCTTGCTTAAACTTAAGAACAAATTATTTCTTATTTATGTCAACAAGTTGCTAAGGTCCTATAGGTTTAAAAGAAATTATTACCAACCCAATTTAACGTGATCGCGAAATTGTATGACTATAAAATCAAAGCCATCTTGTCCATATATTTTTTATTTATTTTTCAAAATTTCAATAGCACTCAACCAGTATATCAATTATGTTAATGATATTTTATCAAAAAGGTATTAGAAAATGCTAAATTACCCAGCGATTGTAAATATTCGAACTTTTGTCCCTTGTTGAGTTTTCCGCCAAATGTAAGCGTGCCCGAATGTACGGTGCGTAGGTAACTATTTACCATTGTGCAAATTACGATAAATATCCGTTCAATGGTTAAACGCGTTAAAATTCGGAAATTTTTTCCCGGTTTCATGGTCCTGTATGCTTAAAAACGTTACCATGATAAAACTTAAATCACGTCAAACGAATATAAATCGGACCAATGTCGGACCTATATCAGTGAATTATGTCAATATCGGATAGACATCGGTCCGATATATGGTAGCCGACACAGATATTCCATCATATAGCCGATATCGGCCCGATATAGGTATGTTTGCTGGGGAAGGACCAAACCATTGAATTTTCATATCTGTATTGAAAACACTTAGGTAAATGATTGTTTGTTATTAAGAAAGATTACTTCTCTTTAATGAGACAATCAATTTTACATACCTTATTAATTAAATGGCAAAATTAATACCATTTAACCCTCATGCTTTAATCAATGATGAAGGATATCCATATAAGTAAAGCAATTCTGTTGTGCAGAGCTTCCGACTGACATGAAAACAATTTATATTCATCAGTTCGGAATAGCAAGTCAAGTAAAGTCTAGTTTATTTTCCATTTGGCAGATATCTGCCTTTGGCATTACAAAAATAAATATACATAATAGCAAATAATTATAAGATTTATTACTGCATAAAAGTTCACTTAGGCCCAATCAGCTAAGATACGTATGTTACTTAGCAACGGTTGGAGCTATAAGACCTTCTATTGTTTATATTCAAACCAATCTAGTTCACTTCAATATCTACCAGAGATGTCGTATAATTTAGTAAAAAGACCAATTACCAATGGACTTAGTCTAGCCACTTACCATCAGCAGCATCTGGAATTAATATCACACCTTATGCAATATTCCAGCCAAGAGAAATAGCCGTTTTACGGCATTGCCATTTAATGGAATGTTTTCCATAAAACAAAAATGAATTTGTTTATCATCAATCGAATGAAAATCATAATCCAAATCACTGAGCTGTGAAATTATCCATAAAGTGTCTGTCTGCCATAGTTGATGCTTTTGACAGGAAATTCAATTGCATTGCTCCAATTGAAAGTAAATAGTGTCTCATGAATACTAACTTGTAACTCATATTTACAGTCTCTAGAAAATGGCATCAAAGATGAAGACGTTATGGTTTTATCACTTTTCTTTTTTAAAAATGTGTGTGGCTTCTACTTGATATGTCGTATCATTTTGTAAAAAAAAGCAAATTTCCAATAGCATCATCTGGAATAATTATCACACCTTATGCAATATTTCAACCAAGAGAAATAGCCGTTTTACGACATTGCCATTTAATGGAATGTTTTCCATAAAACAGAAATGATTTTGTTCATTACATGAAGCAATTCAATCAGATGAAAAACTATAATCAAAGTCATTGAGCTGTGAAATTAACTATCCATAAAGTGTCTGTCTGCCATAAGTGATGAATTTGACAGGAAATTCAATTCCATTGCCCCGATTGAAATTTGATAATGTCTCATGAATACTGACTTGTAACGCAATTTTATTGTCGCTAGATAATACCCTCTAAAGTGAAGACGCTATAATTTAATCATTATTCCATTTCAAAAGTGTAATAAATACTATGTGTGTACACTGAACAGAAAAGCTTCTCAGTTCCTATACGTGCATGTATGTAGATAAAAGAGATTCAATTCTCGTGCAAATTCTTCTACATTCAATAAATAAGCAACATTTCCAAATGTATCAGAACAATTGGAGAAGTATTCTTACATAAATGTGTGCGACATGTGTACTAAATATATTATATATAAAGCTCTCAGCTTCATTTACAAGATTTTGAAAATATGAATTTAAAAATGAATGTCATGTTTTCAGGACATCATAACTGTATCATTTTTGTGAATCTCTGTGTAAATTACTGATAATTATATTTCATTCTCTGAATTGATGTTGTAATGAGGATAAACATAATAATGTTTAAACATACTAGAGACTCTTTATAGTTTTATTTCTATATTAATAGATCCCTACTCTGACCTTTACTTTGAACCGCAAACATGGACACGTGATCTGTTGTTAACAAATATGTTGTGGTGAAATTCTTATTGTATCCACTAATCTTATGATTAGAATTATCCAGATCAGGTATCTATGCATTGACTTGTAAAATAAAGAATTATTACAAACACATGTATGTTGAAAAAATAAAGAAATATAATAGTTATGCTATCATGACACTACATTTTAACAGACAGACATGTACGAACATAAGATCTATGAAACTGAAGAGCAATGAAATTAAATTCTAGAAATTAGAAAGGACAATTTATTTTTATTTGATGAAAACAGTTCATTTAATTATTGATATTTCCTCGACGATGTCCCTCTATCAAAGCTGCCTTATCAGTAATGTTTCTGCTGATATCTACAGTGAGCATTCTCTCCGATAACATAAATCTAGCGCCGAACAGATCAGTTGTTACATGCTATCAGAATGTTCATTACACCCGCAGATGCCAGGGATTTACAAAAATAATTAGTTTTAATTGATTTTTTATTACATTTTTCGAATCGAAAATGTATGTGGCATAAAATTAGTAATTTTGGACAGCAATTTATTATTTTTCTTCGATTGGTAGCCGTGAACGTTACTAAGAACTACTTAAAGAACACGATTGCTGTTATTTGTGGACAATATGAAATAAAACTTCTTGAAGATGAATAGTTATTAAACTTTGGAGCTTACTTCATCGTTAAAACTTTATGTGATGTGACACAGTTATCCGTATAATTGAAGAAACGGGTAGGTATTTTTTCCAATCTAACTTTCACATTATCTTCCAAATATCAGTTTAATTATTTGACCATTATTTTTTACACTTAAAGTGAGGATTCATTGTTACTTTTGTCTTTTTATAATGTTTCTGAAAAAAGTGAATGTATAAAGCTATCAAAGCTAACAATAAGTGAATTATTGCATGTTTCGGGTTGTTATAAAAATATCATGATTGCTCCGTTTAAAGAATTAAGTTTCCTTTAATGATTTCTACGTATATGTAGATAATTAATTACAGACGAACGAAAATGAAGATTGAATACCTTTAAATTTAATATGAATGATTTTGTTTATGAAATATTTAAACAGTCTCTCTATGTTAACTCTGTATTTGGTCATATTTCTTTCAGAAGAATTTCGGCTGAACATTTAGATGGCGACGCCACGTAAAATATTTATATAGGACAGCCATGAAGGTTCACCAGTTTGACCTACCAGTTTTATTAGTGTGTCTTTTGTATATAGGTAAGTTCACTTATACTTATACCTTAATTAATTAATTGTTACTTAAAACTGTCTACTGTCTATTTCCTGATTTGCATTTAGTTATTCTTAAGTTCGAAGACATTTCAAATTTGTCCTCGCATTGTGTCTGTTCATTAACCTACAAAAAAAATCATAGACTTTACAGTAAAGTCTACACGATTATACATTTTAAGTCTTTTTTGTGTATTCCTGTTACTGGTTAGATCGTGAAATATTATACTGTACTTAATACCATTTTAGGACCCAATTCCAAACGTATTACAGCAGTACTGGTTTGTTCCAATATGTGAATCAAAAATAATTTATACAATTTTTAAAAAAAAGTTTCACAATTGAACTTTGAACTACATTGTATATTTTAGAATTTAGTTAGTGATTTAATTATACAGTTATATGCTCTATAGCAACTAGCAGTTTTTTTTACAAACATGTACTTTAAAATTACGCAACAGACAGTCTCTAAATTATTATCATCAACGGTGTAGTGCTTTATAGTATTCAAAATTATTCTAATTCAATCATATAACACAAATTTTGATTATTAATATACCAATGCTTCATTATAATATGTAATTAATTTTTTATCCAGTAAATGTTCAAAGTTTGCGATGTTGGCATTGTATAGCGGATGATTGTGGTGAAGATCCCTCTGACAATTATAAGGCTTCGGGAAAGCTATGTAATCCTGGACAATCTTGTCAAGTAGGTAATCCATTAAAAGGAGACAATTGAAATAAAAGAGATTTTGTGTTGAAAATTGATTTAAGATATACATGTATAATCTGATAAAATTGATGATTCTACCAGTACGAATGTGGACTTGTTTTCAGTCTGTTTCCAGAAATTGTATTTCAGTCGAAGTAGCAAAACTACATATTGAGGATATAAAAGTATCATATCAATGCTATATAGTTACATATATCATATACCATTGCATCTAAGTTATGAATACGAATTAAATCCGTCGTAAGATGGAAAGTAAATAGTTCAGTGCCTTTGTCTTATTTCACAAATAAATGATAAATCTTCTTCAAAATACTTGTCTGACCCTTGTCAGTTTCAGAAAAATAATTACATTTTCCTGAACATGAAATAGCTGTGAATTGTAATTATGGTAATATTAAGGATCAAGGAGAGTTCGATTCGTTTGTAAAGACATTTTTATTATTCTTTAATGATATTTAACTTAATTCAGTTGTTATTAAATGTAAAATATTAACAATGTCGTCATTGGTTGTAATGTAATGATTTATGATAATATGTTTATTCATTAAGTCTTCACATATTCTGTTCTCTCTATTTCAGAAAGTGTATTTTGAAATGTTAGAAGAGTCAGATGATGGAATACCCGTTGCTGTGCATACTTCAACAGTCCGCGGTTGTTCAACTAACTGTATCGACAGAAATGATTTCACAAATTGTACAAATAAATTAAAGACATCACGTGGTTGTGTTCGTAAATACTGTTGCAATGATGGGGATTTATGTAACAATACAACTCAAATAACTTATAATCTTTATCCTGTGATATTCATAGTGTGCCTTTATGTTGTATTGACTTTTGTATCATAGTTTGGGGACCTTTATATTAAAAATATGTCAGAGTTAAATCGTATACATATACATGCACAGTACGTTAACTGGAGTGCAGGTATTCATTACCCGCACTTCAGAGCATGCCCATTGATTGGCTAATGTTTTCTGAGGTTTACTTTTTGACGACTGGGGTAAGAAATATCACATTCAGATGCTCGTTTGCTGGGGTTTCATATTGTGGCAACAGGGAAAATGTTTTATTTGTGCCTATGATACAAAACAGAAAGAACATCAAAACACTCGGCAATCAAATAGCCTCGTGTTTCTGTGTTCTTTCTATAATTTGTAATATAGGTATTGCTTTTTGTTATAGTTTGCTGAGTACTTTTTAATACGTTTTAATGTTTGTTTGTTTTGTTTCAAATGTAGCACATCTGAAATAATAAAATTGTACTTATTTCATATCGTGCATTTCTTAAAAAAGCTTTTTGAATTTTTTTTCATAGCAAAATAAATATTTTTTCATCAATGAACAAACAAGTTTTCACTTTCAACTTTATTTAGACCGCCTAATACGATAAGCTCAACTCAGTAAGGCAAACGTTCAAAGAACACAACCGTTCATAATTAATAGCTTTGAGTTGGTAATGATTCGCTTGTTTTCCGAATAGATGACGGGAATTTTAATGCTAGAAAAGCAGGAAGAAATAGCATATTGTAATGGCCTAAAGTCGCTGCCAGTTCGGAATTTAAAGAACCACACATCGATTACACAAGCTCATTAGTTTCAAGGCTGATATTGGCGAATATTGTCATCATGTTTACGTGTCGAATAATGTTGAGAAAACTTCAACAAGGAATAAGTGTATTTCTTTTTCAGTTTTATTCTTCCGCAGGAATTATCCGAATGTTGGCATTTGTTTCTCAATCAAAATCTACTACCAAAATCTTGTATTCCTGCCACAGAACTTCGTTTTGAATATTTTTGTGCATAGTTCACAAGACTTAGAATCTATTTATTAATGCTACGAAAGAATCAAATAGAAGATTTCCAAAGCTACAATCTGCAGATGTTCTTATTTCCATTATTGGGCCACAATTTATTTTTGATGTTTGATTGTACCCGATTCAAGTGAATGTTGTATTAAATCAATTAATTGCCTTCGTTCAATGGATTGAAGGCTGAATCAAACATTTCATTCATTTTTGCCTCATTTAGCGACATTTAATGGTTCCTTTTGAACAGTTCACATTATTTGAATTGTCATATAACAAGCAATGTTGTCTGCAAACGATAGTCAAACTACCGGTATTTAAAACATCTTTGTATTTGAAAGCAAGCTATTGCAAGTAAATCAGATAATTTATAGAGAATTTCAAAGACAAAAATTAGTCACGTATTTCTTTTTATTCTTAAAAGATTACAAAGAAAATATATTCCAAGTAAAACAATTGTGTTTCGGAGCCATATATTATCTAAATTATTGTGTTAAACCATCTGAATAAATATATAAAAAGTATTATAATTTAAAATTAATTAAAAGCAATAATTATGTTTTTATAATTATAATACGACTGTTGTTTAGTGGTCGAAGCAAATTGCATCAGCTGTTTATGGTATTTATACAAATATGTTACTATGTTACTAGTCGGGGAGCGGTAGCCTAGTTGTTAAGGTGTCTGCCTCTCAACCCAGAGATCATCAGTTCGAGCACCACTCGGGTCACGACCATATGTTTCTTCATATGACACCAGTACTGGTTGGTTCCAGGAAGCTGACTCGAAAGTGATTAATATAAGTTGCAAGAACTTGTTTCGCAATCGAGCTAAAATAAATATGTTTAAACCAATGTTACTAGTAGAAACATTTATCATTTCATTTAAAAACTCAATATATTACTACAACACAACAGCTTGCAAACAAAACGTATCATTGTATATTTGAATGTATGCAAATTTGAGAATTGCTCTTTTGAAATAAACATTAGTGTGTTCGCAATCTACATGCATATGAAATGGAAATTATAATTCATTTTTTGCAGTACATAGAACTTGTTATCCATGCGATTCTTTATATGAGAGAATTTCTTGAACTACGAAATGCTGTCTTTTTTTTTCTCATATACCATTTAAGTGTAACATTTGTTGTCTCAATGTACTCCCCTTGACTGTTCAGTATGAGAATAAAACCATTTCATAAATGTTTATTTCACACAGGAGATTTTAAATGCTATAAGATTTACTATCAGTCCATAAAACAATAAATGGTTCACAATGGTGTTTTGTCCTACAATAGATTTATCCAAAAGATGAAACAACAAAACATATTGAACATTAAAGCTTTTTCTCTATCATGATGTGGAATTTTCAAATCTATATATTTAAATCTCTATAACCACTATATCTAACTTTAATTACTGTAACGCAACGATACAAGCAATTCAATTGAATAGCATTCATCATTTAGTCCACTGTTTTATAAAGTACATATCCGTGCTTTTACGTGAACACTGATGATTTGATAAAGACGTGTACTGCATTATTAAAGCTGAAATAAAACATTTTATATCATTGATTAACTTTTAGCTGTTGTGCTGTGAATGATTTATTTTCAGCTGATATTTCATTTTATTTAGGCTGTATTCGTGTCTCAACTGTTTCAGATTTTCAAATAATGAGTAGTGAAACATAAAATTGACGCAAAAGCGACATGGCTGAGTGATCGCGTCGAGCTAGTTATCTGAGGATTGCTTGCCGTGTGGGTGCAGACACCGTCAGGGACAAGCCGTTATGTCCTTGAGCAAGAAACTATACACGCATTGCTAGGTACCGGATAGCTTGAGGAAATTTAAGGAATGTTTCGAAAGCGCGTCTTCATGCTCATAGCTTCATATACAATCGGAGGTCTCAAAATTGGTTAATTTATTTTTTCATTACACCACACATTTCTCCCATTATGTCAAAACTTTCACAAAAATATACGCCAGGGCAACTAATGTCAGATTTAAACAAATCCTGCAAAAACTTCACAAAGCAATTTAAAGGTAATTACAGGTCAACGGCCGACAAAATTGTAATTTATGTAAAGCTTTATCATTTGAACTTTAAATGTCATTACTTCCAATATTCCAGTAAAGAACATACCTAAGTTGTGTTACAGAAATGCACACACGCCAACCACGTCGATGTCTACATTTTTTATGAATCTCACGGCGTATCATTTTGACAAATTATAATTTTCCGTAATCGTCACAATCAATAACTATTTTGTAAATAGGTATTACAAGAAATATGTTCTTGTCCGCGTGCATTATTGCAGAAAATCATAAATGATATATTGCTTATTTGTTAATCAATACTAGTACATTTTTATATCTTATCTGTATTGAAAACACTTTTGTCTGTATGCTCTTATGTTTAATGAGACAATTAATTTTACTTTCTTACTTAATTAAATCGCAAAATAAACACCATTTACCCTCTATGCTTTAATCAATGGACAAGGATATCCATGTAATTAAAGTAATTCTGTTGCGCAGATCTTCCGACTGACATGAATACATTTTCTTGTAACACATTTTTCGCTCATATTCATAAGTTCGGAATTGCAAGTCAAGTAAAGTTTAGTTTATTTTCCATTTGGCAGATATCTGCCTTTGGCATTACTAAAATAAATATACATAATGGTAAATAATTATAAGATTTATTACTGCATAAAAGTTCACTTAGGCTCTCAATCAACTAAAATACGTATGTTACTTAGCAACGGTCGGAACTATAAGATCTTCTATTGTTGATATTCAAGCCAATCTAGTTCACTTCAATAATCTACAATAGATGTCGTATCATTTAGTAAAAAGACCAATTACCAATGGACTAGTCACTTACCATCAGCATCATCTGGTATAAATAACACACCTTATGCAATATTTTAACCAAGAGAAGCAGCCGTTTTACGGCATTGCCATTTAATGGAATGTTTTCCTTAAAACAGAAATGATTTTGTTCATCACATGAAGCAATTCAATCGAATGAAAACCATAATCAAAGTCATCGAGCGGAGAAATTAAGTATCCACGAAGTGTCTGTCTGCAATAGTTGATACTTTTGACAGGAAATTTATTTGCATTGCTCCAATTGAAAGTAGATATTGTCTCATGAATACTGACTTGTAACACACATTTATAGTCTCTAGAAAATGGCATCAAAGATGAAGACGTTATGGTTTTATCATTTTTCTTTTTTAAAAATGTGTGTGGCTTCTACTTGATATGTCGTATCATTTTGTAAAAAGCAAATTTCCAATAGCATCATCTGGAATAATTATCACACTTTATGCAATATTTCAACCAAGAGAAATAGCCGTTTTACGACATTGCCATTTAATGGAATGTTTATCATGAAACAGAAATGATTTTGATCATTTCATGAAGCAATTCAATCGAATGAAAAACCATAATCCAAGTCATTGAGCTGTGAAATTAACTATCCATAAAGTGTCTGCCTGCCATAGTTGATGAATTTGACAGGAAATTTAATTCCATTTTCCCGATTGTCTCATGAAAACTGACTTGTAACGCACTTTTACAGTCTCTAGAAAATGGCATCACAGATGAAAACGCTATGGTTTTATCATTATTCCATTTCAAAAGATTAACATAATTATATTATTTGTGTTAAATCAACAGAAAAGATTCATAGCAGTTAAGCAGCGTGAATATTGATAAAATAAATCCTTTTCCTGTGCAAATTGATACCTTCATAAAAAAAGAAACACCATAAAATCTATCAGAACAATTTGAGCAATATTTTTATATAAATTTGTACGACATCTATATCCAAATAATATGTGATATATAAAGCTCCTAGCTAGCTTCATTTAGAGGGTTTTGAGAAATTTTGTATTTAATTAAATATGAGTGTCATGTTTTCTGGACACTATAATTGTATCAGTTTTGTTGCACGCTGTCTATATCATTTTTAATAATACCGTGTATTTTATTATCTGATTTGATGTTTGTAATGACGAAATAAACATGACAATGTTTAAACTTAGTTATATTTTCATTTCTAAATTGATAGATCCCTACTCTGAACTTTACTTTGAACCGCAACCATTGACATGTGCTCTGTTGTTAACAAATATGTTGTGGTGAAATTCTTATTGTATCAACTAATCTCATGATTAGAATTTTCCAGATCAGGGATCTATGCATTGACATGTAAAACAAAAATTATTACAAACACATGTATGTTAAAAAAATAAAAAAAATATAATAGTTATGCTATCATGACACTACATTTTACCAGACAGACATGTACGAACATTAGCTCTATCCAATTGAAGAGCAATGAAATTGAATTATAGAAATAAGAAAGGAGAATTTATTTTTATTTG